ATAGCACTCCATCACAACATCAAGCATCTGGAGGCCCTACACCTCCAGACTTCGAATACCAAACACGTACAAATGCAACCCATGTTTACCACCCAACCGGGCTCAGGCAGGTGACAACAGCAAATGGTAGCAATCGTAACTCGTAACATTACACAGCGTCTCTTCGCAGAGCAACCGCCTCAAAGCTTCCTTCAGCTCCCTCGCTGTCCTTGACCGGGGTGTACCGAAGCTTGTTTTGCTTCGTGTCCAGGGTTTCGGGCTTTGGGTCTGGGAGTCTGGGCATGGCTGGTTGACGGCTTGGGGCTCGGGCTTTGAGGGTCTGGGGCTGGGGCACAAGATATCACCAGGTGGAAACGACAGCGTGAAGTGCTCGCACAACCCGAACCCTCACGGACGAAAGAAGCACCGGACCTCGAAACCCAGAACCCTGCCCCCCATCGGGTTCTGCCAGCTTCTGCCAGCGTCCTTGTGGCAGAGCTCCGAGGACATGAAGAATTCATCAATCTGCATACCAGGGTCCATGTCCTGCCGGCTGGGCCAAGGCCTTACAGCTTGCTTGAAAGGGCCTAGATTCTTCGAATTCAGGGCTGAGGAATTCAGCGACCAGCTGATTCTATATGCAACTCGGGCCTCCAACTGTTCGTCCAAAATAAGAGTTGCAGCTCACCCATGGCGTACCCAAAAACATCGAGAGATTCAAAAGTGGCAGCCTGCCACGATTAGTCTGAAACCCCAATGTCGGATGGCTCTGTAGACGAACACCTTTAAACACCGAGATCATTCTCTAAAGAACCATACACTGTTTTTTCCTGACCCGATCCTAAGCCGTCAAAACCCCTTCGAAAACCCCCGAAGCCCGCCCCTACACCCTTGCAAACAACACCAAGCAACCTCCAGTGCGTCCACCTCAAGTTCCACTTCTGCCGGGGCCTTGCAAGGGAACTAGCTTGGAGCTTTCCGGGTTTCAGCGGGCGCATCCCAAATATTGAGATGCATGGCGGCCCACGATTACCGCTTCTAGCATTCTAGCGTCCATAATACTTTCGCCGATGCTTCAAACTCTGCTTCCAGAGCATGGAATTCCTTGGACGCAGCCCTAAGACCCGAAGTTTCGTCCCCCTGACCCGGAACCCCTCAAAGCCCTTTGCTGAAGCTTTGAAAGCTCCAGAACTCCGGACGCATGGCAGGCCTTGATATTCGGCTCGGTCCCTCCTTAGGCAGCTTCGAGACTCCAGGTTCTTATCAGATCGAACTGGGATTTCAGGAATTGGGTTTCTCGGGGTTTCGCTCATCTACCCGAACATAGCTGGAGGGCGGGGGTGCGTTGAAACAACAATCGAAGTCAAGTCTTACCCCAACCCAGAGGATACCAATAATCATGCCGGATCATGATCCCCATCAGCCTATCACAACGATGTGGCAAGAAGTGACATTGGCACAGCAACAGCGACAAAACCAGCAAAACCTACTCGCAGGCATTGCGAAACACGTTCGCCATGGCCATGGTCATCATCACCATCATCAACAAGAACAACAAGAAGAACAAAAACAAGAATCATAATAATAATAGCAACAACGACCCGCATCATCCTTCTCCTCCTCATCATACCATGGTTGTGTATTCGTTGAACTTGCTTGTCGTGAATCCGCGTCTGTGTACCTAATTACTGAGTTTCAGCACTCGCACTCGGGCTTGCCAGGCGAAGATCCTCAAAACCGTGGGCGACTAACGACTTCTCAATTGTGATGGCTGCATCTTTGTGAGTGGCAACTGAAACACACGGCTGGCCTGACACTCTCTTTGTTTGCTAGGAAGCTGGCAAGGATATGGGGGACACAGGCCCCGAAAGTGACCAATTGGGCACGCGAGAGAAGTTGCCTGGGTGGGAACGCAGGCGTTGTGCTCATGCCTTCCCTGGAAAAAACAGCCGGCGTGACGGGTGCTTTGCACCGTCGCCCGGTTGGACGCTAAGTGGCCGGCCGGCCGCATGCTGCAAGCATGAAGCGAATAGCACTGAAGAGATCCACAGCAGGTAAGTGAAAGATGTTCTGAGCCTGCAAGGTTTCTCAGGCAAGCCAAAAACAAGCTTCAATAACCTATCCGGGAGATAAAGACATAAGAGAACGTAAACCAGACCGTCCCTTCAGTACTCTCCTCGCCAAATTCACGAATTTCTCTCTCGCAGTCCTGTGGATCTGTAATGAATGCGACTTTCAGTCAAAAGCTTCATAAAGTACTACTGCAGTGTGCTTCTGTTTTTCGTCCTGGGGGAGGCGCAGGGCGTGGCGAGAGAATCAGAGTCCTGCAAAATCGACACAGGGCTTACGAGTCCCTGAGTAGTGTGCGAGCTTGAGTCGCGAAAAGAGGACTCTTCTGTTGAAAAGAAAAACGTGCCTGCACTGTGGTGTGTTCTGCCAGCGGACGTCGCAGTCTTTTTGGTTGCTGGAGGCTGGAAGAGCGGAGCGCAAAGGCAGGAAAGGCCCACAGATCGAATTAATGGAAAACCTTGCTGGGAAACTCCATGGGCTCGAAGACGAAGCCTGCCGCCTACCTGGACCTGGCAGTCTAAAAACTCAAACACCTGGACGCCGACACTTTCAACCTTGGCGAGCGCCCCAAACACCCAGATTCAAAGTCTGGCCCTTGAGAATTCAGTACGTTACATGACTTGAGACTATGCCTTGAATGCTGAACCTTATTGCGGAAAGGTCGCCCCGAAGCATCCCAGTCTTGACATTTCACCTAGGCCGTCAAGTCATGGCATCACCGCAGTGCCCTGCGCTGTAGGACGGCGCAGAAATATGGCCAGCCAACAGCTATAGCCCAGTCCGAGGCAGAGGTGGAAGAGCATGAAGCCCGCCATCATCAGCGACACAGCGATTGCCACGGCATCTACGCAGTCCATCTGAAACACCCATTCACCCAGCCCATAGTTAACCACCAGCCACAGGGGCAGCAAGGCACGGCGACTCCACAGGCGAATCTCTCTTGCGCACTGCCTCTGGCACTCCTCGCCTTTCTCAGGCTCTGCTTTCTGGACGATGCAGCAGCACCGTCCCCGCTGGCTTTTGGCGGCTTTTCCACGTGTCCCCCACTTGGCTCCCAATCCGTCGGCATTGGCCACAGCCACAATCGGCTGCTGCAGATTCTCGATGAAGGTGGTAAGAGGCACGACGAATATCAGCAGTCCTGCCCACATTCGTCGCATGCCATGGGGTGCCTGTGCTGCCATCATCAGTACGCAGACGCCGAGAGTCGAGCCCCAGAAGAAGGGATTCTTCCAAGCGCCGTAGCCCGCAAGAAGCACTGCCATCTGCAAGGCTCCCAGCAGCATGAAGAAGCTTGTGCCTGCGGTGTGGAGCCACCGGCGCTGGCGAACAGAGCATCCGGCCGAGGCAAAGGCGTAGAGCATCAGCACGACCCACAAGAGGAAGTGGATACAGGCCGGAATGCTCTGGTGGCCCGAGGACACAAGAAAGCTCCAAGAGAAGGTAGAGCAGTCCATCTCTAGCTGGAAGAAGCGTTCGAGGAAGCGGCCGGTCAGGAAAGAGAACCACAACGTCAGCGTCGCCGGGGCCAGGAAGGGCGTCCAAAGGAAGGAGGCGACATAGATGGGCCAAAATACCCAGCGAGTCGGCTGACAAAGCCAGGCATTGGGTTTGTTGAAAAGCATGGTCAGACGATTTCCCATGTGCGAGCGCTTCCACCGGCACTGTTGCGCCAGGTACTCATTCCATGTCTCTGGCATGAAGGATGTGGCCCAACAGTGGGGCAGGAACCGAATTCCGCCACCATTCTGGTACTTCTCATGGACCAGATTTGTCATGAAGCTGTCCTCTCCCATTTCAATCATCATTGAATCGAGAATCGAGTGCTCGTAAACTCCGCGGCAGAAGTCCGTTTGAACAGCTCGCACGGTCTCCATGGCATACATGGCGCAGGAGCCGTTTAGCGGGAGTTGGAAGCGAACGGCGCTCTGGCCGAGCCACAGCATCCGCTGCGAGAACCAGTCCCTCATCAGCTGCACCAAGAGGCAGAAGTTGTGAGTCTTCTTCGTAAGGAGAAAAGGGCCACAGGCTGCCAAGTGCTGATCTTGAAGGCACCTGTACATCTTTCCCACATGGGCCGGCTCCACGCGACAATCGCCATCCAGCAGAAGAAGAGCTTTGGGGTTGGCTCGTCCGGCATTGTGGTTGGCCTGGAGGATGGACATGCACAAAGCCTGAGAGGCCCGCTTGGATCGCGGACAATCCTTTCCCTTCACATAGATCTCGAACGGATAAGGGACTGGTGCCTCCTTCATGCCGCGGACGCACACGCAGCCATGATCCAGCTCCACCTTGCCCACCGGGAGGATGCAGGTCAGGGATGCCAAGATCTCTAAGTCCTCCATGGTCTGGACCTCGTCGTGCTTGTGCTTCTCTTGATTTTCGACATCTGCTTCCTGTCTGGCTCTGTGAAACCAGTCCAATATCTCCTCCTGGTCAACTTGCTGAAGCCCGTCCACGAAAATCATCAGCCGTGCCGACGGGCCGGACTCTACCGAGTCCAACGTGCTGATGCTGTGCTGCAACTCCTCCTTCGTCTCATTGTAACAGCTCAACACCACAGCCACATCCTCCTTCCGTTCGGGGTCGTCGCTGATGTTCAGGGACGTGGTCGTCATCAAGTTGGGTGGGCTACGTGGCTTGTACTGCCGGTAGAGTACCACAAGCTTCAAGATGCCGATGCATGCAACAGCCCCTGCCAAGTCGACCAGGGCGGATCCTAGCCCGAAACGCCACCACTCGCATGAGGGCAGTGTCTCGGTTGCACTTGTGAACATCCTTGCTACGAGCCGCCGGTGCGTCGTGACAACTGAGGCGAAAAGCCAAAGGCTTGAGTCAAAACTGCGTTTGAAGCCAGGCCATGCTTCGACTCGCACACTGGTACGTAGCACACGTTGCAGCCCATGCTTAAGGATTCAGGGTTTCGGCACTAAACAAGGTCTGCAACAGCATCAAGCGCCAGGGGCAGAAGGAAGGTGATTGCGGTGTCGCGCACCCTTGGCCAGAGCCTCCTTTATCCACAGAGTGCCACACCTTGTGCCCAAGGCCCACGGCTCCAACCCTGAAGTCAGAAAACCTGCACTGGGGAGCGGAAGCCCACAATCACCAGACCTCCGACCGCAACCTTGGAATCCCGGAGTCTGCAAGGGCCCCGGGCTACGTTCGACCGGAGGTGCTCCTGGGCACTGTTGCTTCTTCGTTTCAGTAACTCTTTGGTCACGCTCGAGGTTCCGCAATCTCAACTAACAGCAAGATAGCAACAAGATCGGCCTAGCAGCAGGAAAAAAAAGAACACAAGCAAACGAGACCAAAACCAGTCACCACAGAGTTAAGTAGAAGGTGACGACAACCATGATGGCAAGAGAAATAGAATTAAAAGAAGGTCGAAGCTGGATCCAGATGTGGGCTTCTGGGCTCACAGGGATGAAGGCTTCAGGCTCACACTGACTCGGACGCCTTCGGTGAGGCAATGAGTCTGCACAGCTGCGACAATCCCTCAGACTGGACTGTTAAGCTTGTGCCCTGCATTGACACCTAGACCCAGAATGCAGAGAAAATCGTCTCAACCCAGCCGCAAGACTAAGAAAAACGTACAAGCCTACTTCAAGAGTGCATGCCGACTTGGTCGCGGCTGGGATCGAAACTCGTTTGCAGCCAGCCCTAGCTTCCAAGATCGGCTCTGGCCGTTATGACGCTATAATGTGCTTGACTGCCCACCTTGACCCATGGTGGCAAACACTGGGCACTGCCTACACTGTAAGCAGCAGTTTAAGCCTAAGCCTGAACGGGAACATACGCGCACACATGCCCTATGTCTCTCCTACGTCGTACCCAGACGATTGTCGCGAATATCGTTCGGTATCGACACCATTGACATCACTAGCTCCTCCCATCACTACATCCGCCATCACCACCACAATCATCATAATATGCCATATGTGATGATCCAAAAGCAGTGGCCACTAGCATCGGCAAAACCATGCCACAGCATCAGTTCTGCGTTGTTGTTGCTGTTCGTGTTCTCCTACATCATCCCACCAGCTTCATTTTCCGCCTTAATCACATCACATCATTCTCCTCACAACCACCGCAATGGAAGCATGACCATCAACAGGAACAGCAGGGGAAGCAAAAACATGTCATGGAAGAAGAGAAACACACTGCAAGTCTGCATCATTTCCATCATGGCTCTCTTCCTCACAGTTACTGTAGCCACGGTGACCACAGCAGGTACCGAAATCAGGACAACCCCTCAACATCTTGGGCTCCGACCCTCTTCTAGATCTTCAATGGAAGGAGGCTCTACCTCCTGTTTTCAGTGTGAGGGCTCCGGGTTGTCAGACCTTGGGGTCTTGGACGTACGCGACAACTAAGATGTAACAATGTAAGGCTTGGGAGTGCGCCGTGCTGATGCTAATATAGAGAGCACAAGCAACTCAGGCTTGACGGCTTGACGGCGACACCTAGCATAGAGTGTGAAGGTTTCTTCAAGGTCTCGCACATGGAAAACCTTCGATGCACTTCGTTGGTGATCTCCGTTTCTCGACAGTCCTGCTTGACCCTTGGAACCAACACTTTTTGAATGTGTTGTTAACGCGTACATGTTGAGACGCCAGCTAGCTCGTGAGGGAGACGTTGCAACAATCCAACCCGAGTGTTGACGAGGGGTGATCAAACAAAGTCTGAACCAGCAAGCAAAGCTAACTGATGGCAACTGATTATGAACACCAGCATGGCTACTATCTCTTCTTGAAGATGACGTTGGGGTGACGGACAAGCAGATGATGCCACAGCACTCTGAAGATGAGGGCTTCTTAGCAGGCCCGTGGTTCCGATTTCTGCCTTGCTTGCAAGCTAGAGTTAGAAGCCCCCAAACCAAGTCTCAACCCCATGCCTCAGACTCTGAACCTTCAAACCCTGAGGCCCTCACCCCCGGAAGAATGTGATCCAAAACACGATGGTCAGACCGAGTTGGTCCGAAGCTTATACATGCCGAACTTCAGGCAAACAACGCGCACAGCTCGACAAGTCTTCTTATGCTAGCTCGAAGGCTTCGAAGCCTTTCACTTCTGGTTCAGATCTTGGTGCCTTCAGCATCAACTGTCGTGTGAACTGCGAGAAACACCAGCACCAAGCACCAGTACCGGCCAATCGAGTGGAGGCTAAAGCCAGAAATGATCGGGGCCCTGCTCGGACCCGAGATTCAGAAACGCCCCGGACGAAGGCAGGACTGGAAAGCTCGATGCACACGCTGTCACTGCTGACATCGCAGCATCTGCATGCCATCCGAAAACGTATCGAAACCAAAGTCTGCAAGCTCTAGGCCCGAGAAAGAAAAGACTCTGCGTGAGAGGTTCAATATACGAGGGGTTTTTTCCTGGCCCTGACATGCCCTGACAATAAGGATCCTATCACCCTAAGGGTCTCCCTTGCCCCTTCGGCTAAGGACCCGGCCTCGGATCGACCTCGGAGATTTTAAACTCTGGGGGGTCTCTTGGGAGGTGCTGTTTGAGAGGGCTTTCTGGGTTGGCGGGGATTTTCGAGTTGTTCAGAAGAGTTGTACACGGGTTGATTGAGGGTTGTTAGAACACGCTTGTTTCTGGGGCTGGCATGGTCTGGGCGAGTCCCTGCAGCTTCGCGGTTACGGTTCTGAGGGCTCTACACTGCAAAGCGTTGGGCCTGCACTTGTCGGACGCTCGTAAAGCATGCCGTCTGCGCCAGGGGTCTGGCTCTCGAGCTTCGTTGAAGCTGGAAGCTCGGGACTTAGGGGATTCGCTGCGCCAGAACCAGGCCGCGACATTCTGGCTCCAGGACTACGACAAAATGAGCAGTGATCCCGATTCAAGCACATCTCACGTCTTTGTAGCGGCCTAGGCACTGCAGCCTGGGATGCAAAAATCCTCGCCGCGACCAGCCCGACCTCACAACTCTCAGCTTCAGGTTTAGGCTTTGCCGGGCATTGGAAGGTTTGAAGGCTTTGGAGGTAAGGTTGCGTTTAGGGTTCAGGTTGGGAGGGTTCGGCGTTTTCGGGTTCAGGGAGTTCGCTTCGTTTCGGGGTTCAGCTCGGAACCCATACTCTGGCAGCTCCCGGCACTCTGCGAGGCATGTACTCAGGTCGCACCTCCAAACTTCGGCGGTAGATCAAAAGTCAAACGTGTCCGACACCTCTTCGGAACCCCAAGAGCCACTAGGAGACCCCGAGCCCCAGCGGCCGAAGCCGCGAAGAGACTGGGCTCCGGGCTCCGACGGTGTTTCTTCTCCTTTGACGAGCGCCTCTTCGGCTGCTCCTCCTTCGGCTCCGTTTCGACTCACACACTCGCGCAGGGCGCGCAAGACGCCACATGTCGAGATACAATCTAGTAGAGTTTAGGGCTTCGACTTTTAGGATGTTCTAGCTAGTTCTTGTGATGAGAATTCATGCCAAGACTTCGGGCTGGAAATCTGGCATGTTTTGTTTCTTAGCTTCTTTGAGTTGCTCATGCTCCCTGAGAGATCTGGTTGCCCTCGGCGGGTTTTGGAGTTTTGGGCCTTCGGATTCAAGGGTCAGGTCGAGAGGCTTGCAGTAGGGAAGGTTTGGACTGATTTACACCGTAGGGGTGCCCCGGGCACAGTTGGGAAATGCACAAGCAACACAGAACCCGTAGTGGGTGGTGGCTCATGAACGATCACGACCAGCGGTCATGCATCACCAAACACGCAGAAAAAGCTAGGAAACACCTCAGTAGCCTCGTTTGAACTCTGGCTTCTCAATGGCAGGAAAGCGTCCGCCCAGAAAAACCTGCAAGATGGTGCACTGTAAACCAATCCACACGGTATGCCTGGCATCCTCGAGTGGTTGCGAACATCATGCTTCAAACTTATGTCCAAACTGCGACCAAACATTTGTAAAGGATGGTCGCCACCATCACCCATGAACAAAGATGTGAGACTGCCACCGGCTTCAGGATCCACAAAGCACCCAGCACACCTAAAGCCCAAGTCAGCGACGTGCTCCACCACAAGATTGCGGCTGTGAGGATCATGTACGAAACGAACAGGACGTGGGTTTTGACGCTGGCATGCGCCAGTGGTTGTCCATGCGCTGCGATGCTCCAAGTCGCCCTGTCACTTGCGTCCCACCACTCTCTTGGAACTTCGTCTTCCGCACTTGCTGCATCAGAGTGCGTCACAATGCGCCCTGTCTCGATGTGCAACGCTGCCACTGCAATTCTCTGGTTATCTTTGATGAGCCGGTATTCGCACATCGGCGACGGCCCGGGTGGGCCGCCTGGAAATGGGTTGAGCATGCTCTGGTTGATGTTCTTGAACCCTGCAGTTTTGACTGCATCTATGACAAGCCCGCTGAAATGCGACTTTTTGCCGATGGAATCGACGTTCAACGCGCTATTTCTGTCAGCCCATTCGTGGTCGCCGACAATATGCACTTCTACGTCACTTGGAGATACCTCGGCAAAGCATGTTCGGAGCGCGAGAACCAGCTCATGCAGCGCATGCTTTGACGGGTTTCTGTAAAAGCAGACACCCATTGCGTTTTGCAGGCACACATGTGCCCCGAAACCCTTTGGACAATGTAGGCCTTTCTTCGTCCATGCAAACACGACAACACAACATAGCACGGCAACGGTCGAGAGGAACTCTTGATCGTGGCTCGATTCTAGAAACTGCCCCATGCAAAACAGCGCATTTGAAGCATACAGGCTCTCACGAAGCCTTGGGGTGAACCGGGTAGGTCTCGATCGCGAAAGCTTCAGCGACGCGCGGTAGTTCTCTTCAACATCCTTTCTAAGAAGCGCTTCTTCGTCGAGCTTACCAGCGCGACCCATTGCGTTGCAAAGCACAGCCGGAGCTGATATGTGCTCTCCTCAACTTGAACATTTGAGAACACAGGCCAAGCACGAGCAACATCGAGACACACTGCCAAGATCTGAAAAGCCTTCTTTTTCCTGATGTTTGCAATGTTTTCGATGCTGATACGACTCAGAACTAATCATAAGGTGCACTGTCGGGCTTCGCGGCCGGCGGACTCGACACCTGGGCTACAGTTCCACAAGTATCACCACGGAACAAGAAACCCTAAACTCGGAACTTTGCCTAGCGCAGTACTTCCATCTTAGGGTCCGCGAAACCACCCGGACCAAAACCGCCCTGACCAAGATCTTCTCCTCGATCGGATGCATACAGCCACCGCTTAGCGGCGTCGCTAGGGCCTCGGCACCAGGCAAAGTCATGAACACGAGGCTAGTGTCAATCATAATGGACATTTAAGAACCGGCGACTAACTCACTCCAGGAGGGAGGAGGAGCAGGAGGAGGAGACGAAGACGGAGGAGGAGACGCAGGAGGAGACGGGTCGTAGTAGTGGTAGAAGTAGCAGTAGCAGCAGCAGCAGCAGCAGCAGCACTACGACTAGCGCTGCTACTGCTACTACTACTACTACTACTACTACTACTACTACTAGTAAGTAGGAATAGCAGCGGCGGCAACAGCAGTCTCTACTGAGGGAGAAAGTCGTCATCGCAGCGCAGTGTCAGGCCCCGGCCGCTCGAGGGGAGCGCTCCTGCTGCGGGCGAGGCTCTGCACGCGCTTGCCTTGGAGCCCAAGGAAGAGCAGGGAGGTCCCTGGGCTTTGAGGCTCGCTTGGGCAACCCGGGCGAAGCATCTGAGTTCGAAGGGTGAACGACAAGCCACTAGCTTGAACCAAAATACGAGGGTGCTAGTTCAGACACACGAGATCAGTAACATATGAAGCAGACAGTTACAGTTGCAAGTAGGGGGGAAACTACCAAATTCGGGTCATGCCGCGACTGCCAATCATCAGGGACTCAGGCGTTTTGGGCCTGTGAAGGTTTGGAGCTTGCGGTTTGGAGCTGGCCTAGGCTTCTGACATTCGCACTTGCCACCTCTTGCCGTTGCCTTATGGCCGTGTGTGCTTCTTTTGGCTTCCAGGATAAGATCATTTTGGGATGTCCTCTGTTATGTTGGAAGGGGCTGGCTAGGCGGCCAGACATTCCTATTGGGGCTTAAACTGCACCGAAGGGATAGCAGCTGCCAGAGCAGCCGCAAATCAAACTATGCCAGAATCTAAACTCCGTCAAACCTCAAACCTGAACGCCAGACACCCCATGCTATTCACTGATTCACACCAAAGTACTAGGTGTGAGACCCTCAACCCAAAACCTGAACGTGGAACAGGGGAATCTCAGCAGCACCTCCTTGCCCGAACTTTAGCCCTGTGGCTGTGCTTCTTGTGCTTTCGTGGGCAGCAATGGACTGCGAGGTTCTTGAGCATCGTCGCGGCCCCTCGGCCGCAAGGTGTTTAAGCGTGCTGCTGCAGCATTACGGTGAGCTGTAATCCTCACGCAGATTACCAAAGTCTTCTTCCTCCTGGTCTTCGTCATCACGACCGCCATCAGAAGTTCTACTAATTCTACTACATGTGGCTTGCTCCTCCGTGTTCTTGCTACAACCATGATTCAGAACAGCGAAGTTGGCATTGTCGAATTATGTTGCAGGTTTTGCTTGTCACACATGGCATCAAATTCACAGTTACAAAACAGATTGATACTGGCTGACGATGAGAACTTCTGCTGTTCATGGCACAAGGAGCAGAAACTTGTCTACAACGGCGCCTACAACTAATTCTGCCCTTGGCATCATGACCCTTGACTCTGGTGCTGCTCGGCAATCACGATGCTGTCCTGTCTGCGGTCTTGCTGTTGTCGATCTGATTTTGGTAGCCGGTAGCCCTGCCGTTGCTACTGCCGCCGTCGTCGTACTATCGAGGCGGGGAAGTCTTAGCCAACCCAAAAGCAGGATGTGGCCCCTGTCAAACTGCACCTGCATTGCTGAACACATGGAACCGGGCACCCGGCTGAACCTTCGACTGAAACATAGAGTTGGCAGCTGCGGTGCGTGCACACTCTAATGCCTGAACTCAGCTCGGGTGCATGCATTTGGAGGCATAAACCACACACAAGTCAACAAAGGAGATTGTATCAAGTAGGCTCTCGAACCGGCATGCCCGAAAGGGCAGTGGTCCTTTGCGGGCCCATACCATACTTCAACTGAGACTTCAGGCATGCCGACTCTCGTGGCAAACCATACTTCACGACAGTTGGTCAAATAGGTACATCGGAACAGAACACCACGGACCCCCTAACCCTTCCTCCAGATTCTAACCACGGCTACACTGCACTTTGGTATGTTGGGTTCCTTAGGGTGTGCGGGATCGTGAGATGTTTCGAGAGCAGCCCGTCATGGTCACGCTTTCAGTCACTTATCATTTTATGTGCCGAATGTACAGATACACATCATATGCTCGTGAGCAACCTTTGTATATTAGACCTGTTCATCATTTACGCATACTCATATTATATATATATATATAGAGCCTACCAATTAGACCTGTTCCTTCAGTGGTTGGTTCTCTATTCTACTCCTTGCTCCGGTAAAGTTGGAGGCCTGGCTGGCACAACGAAGCCGATGCAAGCACCACCAGTCGTAGGCATACAGATGTCAGTTCTGATGCATCAGCAGCCCTGGGCAACTGTATGTCGAGTCTTTAAGCCCGGGCGTGCCGATAAACTAGAAATCAAAAACGTACCAGACCGCTTCAGGCAGCAGCTTTCAACATGCACCGCTTTCCCAAAAAGAATTGAACAAATCCCAATTAATCCCCTGTGCATGAGACATGTTTCTTCACGCTCTCAGCCACCGCACCCTCTTGAACTGAAGCCGCTGCTCCGGAACGCAGATCGCTGAATGGTGGGCTTCCTCACAGCTGACCCCACAAATCCTGATGCCCGAACCTGACATCCGAAAACACGATGGAATCTGACATGTAGCATCAAGAACCTCCAACCTCCCACGCGTATTCAAATTCAAGCCCCGCACCATTGCAACCCGAAGCAGCCAGCTCAAGCAGCTCAGTTGCTGCTTGGTCTTGTCACACTTCCGTCTCAAACTAATGCAAGTGGTGTGCTGAGCGCCAATAGCTTTGACTTTGTGCACTAGGGTTCAGGCTCTGGGCTGTGAGTCCTACGCCTGGATTGGGCCATGGAGAAAGCGTCCGGTGGGATCCAAATTCGTTTTTTGATGGGATTCGGTCCTGAGCGCTGGACCAGGAGCTAGAGCCCCTCAGTGAGACCTCCAACCTGATTTCAGATCCCCATTAACACCATGCTCGAACCCTGACCACGCAGGACGTCCTCCACGATCTCGCCTAAGAGCTTGAGGAACTTCATTTGCCTAGGCTCTCAGATTGCAGCGCTCGCATTCTGACCGACCAGGGAAGGAAAGCATAATAGGCCAGAGACGATGGCGACAGGTGAAATTGTGGGGTTTCTGGAATAGCAGCGAGAGTTTGCGATGGGGTTGGTGCGGCCAAACGTGAAATATGGTTTACTTTAAGACTGTAAGGGCGGGTGCGTGCATGTGTTTCGCATGCACGTGATGTCCAGTCCAGTATGACTGATCCAGCAGAGTACAACACGACGCAGCACTACAACATTATAGAGCATCCTACAACAGGGTGCAGTGCAACATGCTGCAAACAACTTAATTTGATACAACATAGAAACAAAACAGTCGAAAAGAAGCCAACAAACAGAAGTGTTCTCTCTCGCTGCCATACAGTATGCCATAACAGACCCGTGTGACACTTCTTGAGGCTGAAGACCCTGGGCTTCATGAAATTGCCAAGACTGCGACTATGTACTCTTGAGGAAGTCACGACCAGTAGTACAAAGGTAGTGCTGCGGCACATTTTCTGGCACTTAAACTCGATACACTGGTGTAACTTTTGCAACTTAGTACTGACTACGACTCGTATAGTGATGCTCACGTGACTGATATTGCTTCTGCTACCATTTTGTTACTACTAAGAATATTCATTTTGCAAGATATTGCCCATCTGTCTGAAGTTGCTGCCATTATTCCTGCCAGAAGTGCTTGGACTAGTACTAGTATATCCACATTTCTACTGCACACGTGACACTAGTGCAACCATCCATGTAAGCATGACTGTTCTTGTTACTACTACTATTACTACTACTACTACTACTACTACTACTACTACTACCACTACTACCACTACTACTACTACTACTACTACTACGACTACTACGACGACTACTACGACTACTACGACTACTAATACTACTAATACTACTACTACTACTACTACTACTACTACTACTACTACTACGACTACTACTACTACTACTACTACTACTACTACTACTACGACTACTACTACCACTGCTACTCCTACCTACTCCTACTCCTACTCCTACCCCTACTCCTACTCCTACTCCTGCTACTACTACTACCACTACTACTACTACTACTACTACTACTACTACTACCACTGCGACGACTATTGCCACTGCTACTACTACTACTACTACTACTACTACTACTACCACTGCTACTGCGACTGCTGCTGCTACTACTACTACTACTACTACTACTACTACTATAGTTCTACTACTACTACCACCATCACCACCACCACCACCACCACCTCCACTTTTTCGACTTTTTTGATACTTTAGGGATTCTGGTCCATTATTCCTTTGAAAAAATAACCCCGGGGTTTAGCTCCGAGCTTAGGCTTTGAAGTCAAGGATTGCTTCGTGGCCCTGAAGCAGACCTTTGCATTGCGATGTGGCGCTTTTAAAAGGACCTGACAAGTTGCATCCTGCATCCTTGAAAGTTTGTCGAAGGTGCAACGGTTTAGCACAGGCATTGGTAATGACCTGATGGAAGGGCTCATCTTGCAGAGCCAAGCGACAGCGGCGGCGTCGGAATGGTCAAGGGGAGCATAATGGCGTGCAGCATAGGTGCCTGCAGATGCCCGTGACGTTTGCAGGATTTCCTGACGATTACCCAAAAAAAGTCATCAACGCTCATCCCATTCTTCAGCAATTGCCCTTCCCTGCACGCTCCGCAGACTCCTCAAAGGCTCCTTGCATCTAAGACTGAGTCAAGGCACCATATCGACAGAGATAGCAACGTTCAACGGAAGGTCGATTCTTCGGGGCATCGCACCTCGGGATCATGCCCAGCCACTCTTTCGTTTGTAACCTCTGACCAAACATAAGACATATACGGAGAGCATGTACAAGTAACCGGAGACACTAGCAAACGAAACGACTTCAAACTAAGTCGCAGTGGTATGCACACACGCATACAGTGGCAAGTGCAAGCATGCATGAACATGTAGACGCAGATGTAGCTGAAAATGTGTGCCCGCATAACAGCCATGCACACTGATGTGTGGTCAGTCCAAGTCTACAGGCGGATCCGTCGCTTCTCGACCCATTGATGTACTTCACTTGCTCCGATATGCATGCATACCTACTTGCCTGCATGGAGGTGCGACATGCAGGACGTGGCTGCCCAGCCATCGGTATATCTGTCTCTCAATCCAAAGGATCTCAACCTGTATGATGCTGAGAAGTGCGAAGCGAGTAGCTCGGACTACGCCCCGGAGATCACCGGAGGCTTCGCCTGAAGTGATCCTTGCCCGAGCACTCCTACGGTGCGTGGGCCATCGCAGTTTGGGAAGAGGTCGCGGACTACGCGGTGAGCTAAGCTGCCTTTGAAACTACATCATTAGCTACAGTAACCTCATCATTATCACAAGGCGCGCAGATGTTGTACGTCTTGTGGGGATATAGTATGGTATTGAACAAAGCCTGTGTATAATTGTCGAGAAATGCCTCTCCCCACACCTCAGCCGACAGCAGCAGCCAGAAGCGGATTCAAGGCGCAAATGTGTTGCCACGGGAGAGGCTTGGGAGCCTGTGATGGAAACACAAAGCTCCCTAGGGCCGCGGGGGAAAACACGAGGCAGGGAGGCGTCCATGGCAGTGCATGCGGGCACAACTTGTTTTTATCCTCCGTCTCCGCACCAAGCGTCTCGTGTTGTGGGCACGCGAACCTACTTACCGGCGACCCAGGGTCTTGACTCAAGAATCTGTTGAGGCAAGGCTACAATGCGATGAGCAAGGCCTATTCCGTCATGCCGACCGCTTGCCATCGAGCACTTCCCGCAGTCAACTGAACGAGATAGGGATGCCATTCAATGCGACTGAACCAAACGCTCGTAAAGGGATTGTCTGAACCCACGGCCGGACATGAAATGAAAAGAATTGTACTTTCCCAAGAAGTTCGTGTAAGATTCAGCTCCAAACCTGGCCGTGCACTACCCTCTTGCTACACAGAAACATCTTGAAAAAAGCCCCACCGATCACGGCAATGTCACTACGATCCAGGAACACGGGGTGAAACAGGCTTCATGGCGGCAAGTAGTCCGGAGGCGACACCCTCCAGGCCCCTCCGCCCAGGTCGTCTGCGTGGCTTGCCTGGGCCAGTGGTCGGGTGCCGGGATCTTAGAGGTTTTGGACAAGTCGGGGGCAAATTCAGGGCCTACCTATGCATGTTTTTTGCAGGCTTTTATCCAAATACAGGAATCGATTCCTGTTCCCAGCAGGAGCTCGATCCTCGCCTGCGTTGCAAGAATAGTCGTTTCCGATCACCCAAACTCGGAAGCCGCACGGAAAGCTGGTACGAAAGTTTCTGCGTCCTGACTCCGGCACACGCCTGCACACAACATTGCTGCCCAGGGTGCGAATGCCCAGTTGACACCATCGAGACTCACCGGCTCAACCTGCTGCGAGCGACATCGGAAGGCTTCGGGGGTGAAGGAGCCGAAGACTTCTCTCTCAGAATTTCTAGTGTGGAACGGCCGGGGTGACCTACCTTCCCCTCTCAAGAGAAGACGCCGATTCCGGGCCAACCTTGCATCCTCAAGACTGGTATTTCAACTGTACTACTGGACCTCACAAGCGCCACGACATTGACGAGGCTTTTTGCAAAAACTCCAATCCTGAGCCTGAAACCCATCACTCAGCACCGAAGACCTGCTCCATCTCCGCATCCTCGTCGGCATCGAAAATTTCGCCCTCTCGCAGGAGGAGGGGCTGCAGGTAGATCCAGCCTTCGCATTCCAGGACCGTTTCAACGTACAGTAGTGCCGATGGCAGTGGGACGCGGACCTTTAGTTTCATGGGGTAAAGGTGTCAACTTCAGAGCCCACACACCCAGAATCCGACGACCGGTCGACTTGCGAGCCGGACGACCATGTGGTCCGCTCGAGGGCTCGTAGACGACTTGAACAGCGAGCACCAGAGCCTCGGGCTGGGCCCCAGGCGCTGAGGCGCTCGGACTCAGAAGCTTGAGACTCCCGGAACAGCTGAGCGTCGGCAACACCCTCATCATGATCACCACCACGACATACCACGACCATCACAGCAACGAGCAACCGCAGGCAGGTCCGAACGGCAGCATTGACATCTGGGAGAAATTCTCGAAAGGTAGAGCTGCAAAGCTTGATGGGGTAACAGTGGGCCGACTAGAACGTCAGCGGGAGCTCCTGACTGCATTTCCTGTGGGTCCCGAACAATTCAGTCTCTGGCTTCGGGTCCTAAGCTCAAGGGTCCTCCGTTCTGGGATAGTATCAATGAAATGCCAGAGCTTGGGGAACAGTCTACTCTTCAAACCATGCCGCTGGAGAAGCGGAGGCCAAAACCCAACTGTTGAAATTCCATGAACTCCGACAGACCAACATGTCGAGCCCTCAAACCCTCCAAGGCTCTTGACCCAAATTTCGGCTTGAAAATTTCTGGTTTGACTGCGGCCAGCCGACCGTGGCCCAGCCATCGGAACAGCTCGGACGCCAGTAAACGACATCGCCCTCCTGGGGCGTGAATGCTTGGCCTCCGTTTCCGGCTTCTACAGACTAGGGCGCCCTTGCCGGCCTGGCTGTTTTGCGAGCAGAGCAAGTAATCTGGAAAGTGGATTCGGGCTTCCACAAGAGCAGACCGTGCGAAAGGGAGTTTCAAGATCCACTTTTTCTCAACTTCTTCCGCCTACTGTATCTTGCAGTCACGGCATGCACTTCGCAAGCTGGACTCAGTGGGGTTGGAGAGTCAACGGCTGAGGGCTGAGGACCTCGCTTGTTCGGGGCTTGGTCTGTACGGACTAGCACTGAAGGCTGCATGCGTGCCCGGAAAAGAACACTCTAAACCCACAAACGGGGTCTATGCTTTATGTTCGGATTTGTTAGGTGAGGTTCGCGGCGCGAAGTCGGATTAGAAATGGATTTCATGCTCTCGCAACTCGGCCAGGTTTCAGGATTCAAGGCCCTTCGGGCTGTGGGTAAGCTGCAGCTTCAATGTAACACTGAGGCCCTGTCAAGGCTATTGGGTTTCGGCCTGAGGGTGGGGAGTAGGGAAGAGTTCTGTTCGTAGTCGCATCACAAGATATTTGGGCCAATTCTTGGGATCCCTTCCTTCGGGATGCATGCAACTCAAGCGTGAGTCCTTGCAAAGAATGCCAATTACGAATTTTTTTTGGCAGCACAATCACTCTGAGCTAATTACGAATTGGTGCTTGCAATCGTTTGACTATCGGCTCTAGGCTCCAGCATGACATGCCGTACAGTGAGCGGCTAGGACCTCTGAAAGTTCTGATACAGAAGCTGGTACGGCATGCGGCTTTCGAGCTGGAGGAACGTTGTAGCTTCCTAAAAATGCAGGAGAGCCTGCTCTGTCGCGTGCATAATAAGCAGGTGCAGATGAACCCCTCACAAGTTGGCATTCAAGTTGTACCGGGCATGACATAGCATCAATGCCCATGATATTTCACATCGGAATTCCGTAACCTTTAAAGCTTCCCTGCGCTAAATCCTGAAAACATCACCGGACATCACTGTGGGTCCATACCTTCCCGACATCAGGCGATCCCGAACCATGAGGATCAAGGCACTGCAACAGGAGTTATGGAAGTCTGGATGCGGGCAGCTCTTCTTGACGGGGCCATAAAAACTCCGGATCACGAAGACGTAGTGTGAACTGCTTTGCTGAGAAAGCCCAAGAGCTATGCTTGGGTATCTGGCTCCTTGTAGTCTAAGCACCTCTGTGGTCATGCCACGGCGACAGCATCCTTAAAAGTGTGGTGCCCTGCACGGGCCATCAACTGCCCAGAGGGCCCAGTTCGGCGAGGCCCACGTTTCGCAGGCGGGTTATTCTCTCGGGTCAAAGAACACATGTACTAGTACTAGTACTAGTACTAGTACTAGTACTAGTACTAGTACTAGTAGTAGTACTAGTATTAGTAGTAGTCGTCGTCGTCCGGTGGTAGAAATAGTAGCAGCATTAGCAGTAAAGTAGTAGTAAAGTAATAGTAAGTAGTAATAGAGTAGCAGTAGTAGTAGTAGTAGTAGCAGCAGTAGCAGTAGCAGTAGCAGTAGCAGTAGTAGTAGTAGTCGTCGTCGTCGTCGTAGTACTAGCACTAGCAATACGAGCATCACTAATAGACTAATAGTACTAATAATACTAGCACTGGTAGTCGTAGTGGTCGTCGTGGTCGTCTCGTAGTCGCAGTAGTAGCAGCATAGGAGTAGCGGTAGCAGCAGCAGCAGGAGAGGTGGTAGTAGAAGTAGAAGTAGTAGTACTACTACTAGCAGCTGGTGGCTAGGCTGATTGCTAGAAGCCAGAAGCTACTAACTAGCTAGTAGCTCGCTGTTGATGCTGTAGCAGTAGCAGAAGTTGGAGCAGTGGTAAACTATTTAGAATCTAACCGGTCGGCAACAGTTCCAAATTTGTTTGGGTTGCTACTGACGGCTCTGGATGTAGCCTATTACGTGCTGTTGGCATCGTCTTTCCTTATTGACCTTAAATTTACAGTAACTTTCCATCTTCTTATATCTCTCATGTTCACGGCGCGAGGCCTCAAGGCCCTCTTCTCCTGCGAGACTCGCACTTCATCCGGCGAGCTGCGGATCGGCGAGCTGCTGTTGTTCCTCGGCGGCAAGCCTGACGGTCTGGCGGCTGGTTTTGCCTCAGTAAACCACAGAAGCTGAAAGCGGCGAGCACTGCACTTTCAAGAAAAGCTCAGGCCACAAAACTTAGGCAGCGTGACAAGGGTGACCAGGCGGCAGGAGCAGCAACAGAAGCAGTGGTAGCAGTCGTCGGCATCAGAAGCATGAAGGGCCGGTGGTATACCTACTCGAGGCGGCCTTCAGCAGTCGCACCATGGGTTTTGGGGAGGTAACTTCAACGAGCTTCTTTCAGACTCGGCTCTGGGCGACTTGCTATGCAGTTTCCATGCATCAGCATGAGCATCAGCATAGGCATTGGCAGCGCATTCGCAGTAGCAGTTGCATTAGCAGCAGCGTGGTACGAGCATGAGCATGAGCATTAGCATTTATTATTCCGATGAGGAGGAGACGGAGGAGACGGAGGAGGAGGAGGAGTAATACTACCACCGTTGATGATATAAATCCTGCACTACCTTTAGGACCCTGGACTATGGAATTATGATATATTCTTCACTGTGGGTAATGCAGGATCTATATCATCAACCGTGGTGGTGGGAGTAGCAGCAGTAGCAGGCAGTAGCAGCTGGGGCAACAGTAGCAATGGCAGTAGCAGTAGCAGTAGCAGTAGCAGTAGCAGTGGTGGTAGTAGTAGTAGTAGTAGTAGCAGCAGTAGTAGTAGTAGTAGTAGCAGCAGCAGCAGCAGGAGTAGTAGCAGTAGTCGTCGTCGTCGT